CACGGGCAGGGACACCTTCCACTAGACCAGGTTGCTCCAAGCCTCATCCAGCCTGGCCTTGGACACTTCCAGGGATGGGGCATCCACAGCTTCTCTGGGCAACCTGTCCCAGTGCTCCCCCTCTCCAGGAAGAATTCCTTCCTGATATCCAATCTCAATCTCCTACTTTCAATTTAAACCCGTTACCCCTTGTCCTGTCACTCCCTGCCCTTGTAAAAAGTTCCCTTCCAGCTTTCTTGTAGCCCCCCAGGCACTGGAAGGGGCTCTAAGGTCTCCCTGGAGCCTTCTCTTCTCCAGGCTGAACACCCCAACTCTTCCAGCCTGTCCCCATGGCAGAGGGGCTCCAGCCCTCGGAGCATCTCCGTGGCCTCCTCTGGACTCGCTCCAACAGCTCCGTGTCCTCCTGCTGTTGGAGGCCCCAGAGCTGGAGGCAGAACTGCAGGGGGGGTCTCCCTGGAGCGGAGCAGAGGGGCCTCACTGGGACACAGGAACCTGCCCATGTCCCACAGGCAGAAGGTGTGATGCAACCCACAAGCAGCAGATGTAAGGCCGGAGCAAGGGATAAAACGGGATGCCCTGGGCTGCCAACACCTGCTTTCTTGTGGGGTCCCACTGCCGTCAGCCCGCAAGGTGGTTCTGTCCAGCCCACAGAAAGCCCTGCAGAAATAATCTGCAGAAATAGTCTGTCCTGTCCTCATCCCCATTTACCTTCACCACCGAAATGCCATAGTCCTGGAGGGTCTCGGCCGAGTTCTGTATCTGCTCCAAGAAGGGCTGGGCACCAGGAGAAACTGAAACACAAAAAAAACCTGTTTTCCATCCCTCCCTTTTAGGGATGAGGCAGATAAGAGTACCTTCAGGGCAAGCATGGTAACAACATGCTAAAGTCCCCATGAAAACATCCCCAGGACATCTGAGCAGACCCGAGCAGGGCAACCAGGTGGAGGTGCCTGCAGGGATGTGACTGGGGAGAAAAACTGGGACTGGTTTTGTCAGACGGGTCCTGCTGGGCTGGACTGCAGGTCCTCAGCGCCAAAAGCAACCTCCTGCCAGGCACTGAGGCAGCGCTTGACACGATAAGGTCTTGCTCTTACTCAGAACAAGGTTTACTGAAACAAAACTAATTACAGGCAACAGCA